CTCCCACCAGAGCAGCTGCTCAGATCAAACTCCTCAGCTCCTGGCTGGGAGAATCAGGTCAAAAACCAGCTCTGAAATTGAGCCACTGTGTGCATTCCATCCACTGCCAGGGGAGGCAGAGAGAAACAGTGGGCACAGACGGGTGAAACCCCCTCATGAACGCACTGATGATGAGGAACATGGGATTAATGCAACAGAAATAAGGATTTCATTTAGCCAACCACCACTTCATCCTCACCAAACACAACAGTGTAAAACAAAAACCATGTGGCATTTCCACATGCTGTTTTAACCCATCTCATCATCACAAACTACACTGTATCCACAGATATAAAAGGGTGGGGAATAGAAATCATCTGGTACAGCCTCGAGCCACTGGAATGTTGGGAAAAGTCTCCAAAGCTGCTCTCCATTAGCACTGAATTTGTCCTGAATAACATATTCTTAAGGAAAACCACACTTTTTCCCTTCAGAAGCTGAGGACACAGTGAGATTTCTGAAGACATCAGATAATGTGCAGCTGCAGCAGAGTACTTGGAATTACAGCGAGATTTACTCTAGAGCTCTTGGTTCCATAATAAGGGATATCAGAAGAGAATAAAAGACCGTGTTGCCTATGCTTAATTAACCTGCTCAAAGCATCGATTGATGAACCTGGGAATAAAGCCCAAAAATTAGTAGAAATGCAGAAAATTAAACAACATATCCTCCCTCACTGGACTGAGAGCAGGTGAGGTCATCATCCTCCTTTTGCAGCAGCAGCAGCAGCACTTGGAGCAAACCAGTAATGGCCAGAATATCCAAAATATAATTGCAATCAAACAGAGCAAACCTGGGAACAGTGCAAGAGAGCTGCTCCTGTTGTGCTGCGTTCTGGAGCACAAGGGCTGCTGTCACACAGGTTGGCACTGAAATCAGCCATTTCTCTGTGCTTGCTGTGAAAAATAATGATCTGTTGATCTTGGTTTGTCATTCAAACTGTGTAACCCACTAAGTCAGCATCTGTCTCTTTACTGGATCTTCCTCTGTGCTGTTTATCAACTGTCAAAACTCAACAGAAACAAAAATACAGGAGCAGAACTTCCAGAAATGCTTGGAAAATTACATTTGTCAAAAGGCCTTGACAGTAATGACCATCAGAGTTCAACAAACCTCACCCACAGTGAGGTTATGACCACGTTCTACACAGAAAAGTTCCAATCCATACACCTCCCAAATGGGAACTTTTTCCAAGCGATTCCCTGTCAGTGGATATTTTACCTCACCTGACCTAAAAACTTCACCATAAACACAGTGAATAACCTAGTTAAATGGCAAAGATGAGAGTTTGAGATCTGAAAGTCAAGAAAATCATGTTTTAAAGGAAAGGATCCAAGATTCCTCTGGCAAAACTGGGAAGGTGAGGCAGGGGAGAGTGGTGGGTGCTGTGCCTGGGATGGAGGGAGGCAGAACAAGGTGCAAGGCAAGAGCTTGGCTTTGCTTTAACTCAGGATTTTACCTGAACTGGGCTGGAATTATTGAACAGCTCCCTGAAGAGGATAAGACTGACTTGTGTCTGGGATTTCAGCTCTCCTCAGTGGGACAAGAGGAATGTGTCCAGTACCTTCACACTCACCAGACCCACAAAGCCAAGAGGCTCCTGTTGCATCAGCAGGAACAGTTACCACAGCTGCCCAAAGCCAGCCAAAAGGAAGGCTCCAAACTGCAAGATATTGGAGGGCAACGATTTCTGCAGATTGAAGAGAAGGAAGAACTGAACTGCATCAGAACAGAACAACAAAGCCTTTCATCTAAGCTGCCAGATGTGCCTGTGAGGATTTAAAGGGGGATTTTGCCCCCTCTCCTGCCCTGTGGCTGCCCCGTCCCCATCAGGGAGTTAACAAGTTTTCCACGCTCCAGCTGGAGAGTGTGGGGATGATGTGCCAGCCCCTCCTGCTGGCAGCGATGCCCTGTGTGCCCTCCCTCCCTCCCTCCTTGCAGTGCCGGGAGCCAGGGCTGGCACGGCCCTCAATGGTCCCTCTGTGCCCAGCTGAGTGCCCCTGGAGGGAAGGGAGGCTGGCAGCTCTGCCCTTCGGAGCTGGGGGGCAGCTCCCTGAGCTCTGGCTCCCCGAGCTCTGGCTCCCCGAGCTCTGGCTCCCCGAGCTCTGGCTCCCCGAGCTCTGGCTCCCTGAGCCGGCCCTGGCACGGATGAACAGCTCAGGGAGCTCCTGCCCAGCCCAGCAGGGACAGCGGGATTGGTGCCTGGACCGTTCCCAACAACCCCCCAGGTCAGAGTACCCGGCCTTCATTCCAGCATCTAATTACTGATTGTCTGATGTGGTCGTGTGTGATCATTAAAATCATTCAAAAGGCGCAGACCCATTTATTTGGTGTGAACTCGGAGTCACTGCGAGAAAATGAAATTACTCATTTCATTAGTACATTTATCCTCATCTTTCTGGTAACACTCTGGGAAGGCTTAACTAAGAGATGAGAAACTCTGAAGGACACAGCAGGGCTTTTTAAAAAAAGACAGATATGCCAAGTAAATATGATTATTGCTGCCACAACTGAGTCATTCACCAAAAGCTGCTGAAGAAAGCCCGTGTGCTAATAATGCAAAACAAACACATGTACAAACACTCTCACAAGCAATATTTCCAAGCACTGTTGTGCTTGTCAGAGGATGAATTGCCATGTTCCAATCACATATTACAGCAACAAAAGATCGTACATCCTTCTCAGAAGGAAAGAATTAGCTGCTACTGACTGCAGTGGTAACTGATCCCAGAAATCATTATTAACTTCAGCAGTGTTTGCATACACAAACAGTCTCTCTGTAACACTGCTCCAGTCCAGCTTCCAAACGCTGGGAAGCAGACAGCAAGTATTCCAGCTGGTCCAATCGCTGCCTGTCCCAAATCCTGCCCATCTGCAGGCAGGAGCCTCTTCTTGCTATTCCTGCTACAGCCCTGCTCCCTGTGTCCTCTTTCTACAGAGAGCAAAGGCTCTAGAGAAGCTAAAAAAAAACAGGGGAGGAAGAAAATCCCCCCTCTTTCACATGGAAGGTAGAACGATAAGCAAAAATTTCTTTCTTTGGGTACTGAAACTGTTTGTATCTCCTAATAATGGGCTAAACTTTTACTGGGGGAAGCCACAACCATCTCCTCAGGACACAACAGTGACTTTGGTATCAGCTTTCAGATGTATCAGGCTCCCACTGTTCCCACTGTCTGTGAGCAGGGAAGGACTGTCCAACCTGCCCTGAGAGTCCCAAACCACAGCGCTGGGATCGCTGGTACCTGGGATTTTGCTGGAGGCATGGATAACTCCTAACTAAGCAATAGTTTTTCCAGGTTATGTATCCCAAGTGTGTGATTCTCTTCAGATTCACCTGCCAAAGCAGTGCATGCGTGGGTTGTACATCAGGGATTGGACATCAGCACTTGTCTATCCCACATCAGTGGGATTTCTCACCTACTTACAATTAAGCTGTGACTACCTTAATGAATCAGAGCTGATGTTTCCTCACTGCAAAACACACGTGCAACAGACTGAATCTGAACCCAAAAGTTCAGTTCCATGGATGCCTAAAGCAAGATTATTTACTACATTACACATCCTTCCTCTAAAGCACAGCCCTTGGTGCAACTGGGTGCTGGCCCATGAGGATTCTGAGGTGTTACAGTTGTACCTGCTGGTTAAAAAAACCCCCAACAATAACAAAAATCACATTAAAAGAGGAAAAAAATAAGGTCTACTAAGCCATAACTGCAGTAGGAAGGAAGTTAATAAACCTGACAATAAAACTGGCAGCCACACAAAAACCCAAATCTGCTCTTAACTGAACAGAAAATATTAACTTTTCTATAGAATTGTTAAGAGCTCAACAACAGGCTCTGATACAGTTCCCTCTCTGCTCCATAATGAGGTTGGGAAGCCCTGCAGGAAGGTCCCTCTCCTGTGCCGGGTTCTGTTCTGTCCTTACAACGCTCTGCTGTCGCTTTTGCAGCCCCAGTCACCTCGCCGAGTTTTCAGAAGGTTATTCACAAACAGCTGCATAATAATAAGGAGCCCCACTGGGCAGCAGGTTCCCAGAGCAACCCAAATCCATGTGAGTGTCAGTCATGGAATGGTTTGGGTGGGAAGGGACTCAAAGCCCAGCCAGTGTCACCCCTGCCATCCACCAGCCCTCTTCATTGCTCAGCAAAAACACTGATTGCCAGCTTTAAATATCAGCGACAGGGCAGCCCTGAGACAGGCAGGAAAGGCATGCAAGTTCTGGTGTTGAATGTTTAAAATAGTCAGGGAAGTGATACGAGTTTGGGGGGGATTCTCTTGGGTTCACCTCGCTGATGTTTTCCTTGCCCCATCAGATTTGCCATTTTTATGCTTTATTAATCAGAAAACATGACAAATGGGCACCAAGTCCCTTCCAGTTTGGTACCTGCAGAGGATCTAAACAAGTTTCTGGCAAATCTCTTGGTTTATAAAGTAAAAAAACTGAGACAAATGTTACTGGACATTAAGACCAGCCTAAGCCCTTCACCTTTTTCAGTACTTTTTGGCCATATTTTCGTGTTTGGTGCTTGAAAGAAGAAAGGGGAGAGGTTGGACAGGCCAGTGATGGTAAAAAAACCAACTGTCCTTGTTGGGAATGAACTACATTTCCATGGAATACAAACCTGGGGAATTTCATTAACAAAGAAAAGGGTATGTTGGCCTTGATCCAGTAGAGGGTGTCCACAAATCCACATTAACCCCAAGCATTAAGGAGAGATGGCTGGACTGTGCCTTCATCTGCTGCAAGGAACCAATAACCTGGTCTCCAAAACAGCTCCATTAAATCCCCATGGTTTAAACCAGGCAAGCTCTGTGTGCCCTGGCTCTGCTTCCAAGGAAACTGAGCCCTGGCAGGATCAGCTCAAGGCCTCCTTCACCCCTTTCCCCAGAACTGCTTGACCACCACACCATCCACGGTGTTTGTGGCACCACTGATTTCCTCTGTGGTGGCACTGGGTGGAGATTAATCTGTGTCCTCAGCCCAGGTGCCATGAGTTCCTCTGGAGCAGGATCACCTGCCTCCGAGGTGTGCTGGGTGGGCAAAGGGGAAACCAGGAGCTGGGGAGCACAACAAGCCCACCCCAGGCACGGGCCGTGGTTCCCAAGCAGGGACATTCCCACCATTCCCAACCCCTGGAGATGTTCCCACCCCTCTCCAGCCCTGTGGGAGCTCTGGGATGTGACCTGTGGCACAAGTTCAGCTGCTGAGAGCTGCCTTTGTGCTCCTGCTCAAATGGGAGGCCGAGGGGAGAGCTGCTGTGTCCATGAGATCCCGGTGTTCCTGCTCACACACAGCCCAGCAAACGTGTTTCTCCAGCCTCCCGATTCCAGTCCCCGCAAGGCAACACAGCCCAGAATAAAATCCTGCTAATTAGAGCCAACTCCTGAGGAAGTGCAGCCCTCGCCGCTGCCTCGCTCAAGGTCATTTGCTAAGTGGCTGGTGAACAAACAGATCTGCTCACTTTCAGCAGAGGGAGGAATTAAAATCCGATTTAACTCCAGCACCAACCCCGGTGTTTGACACTGTCAAAACAATTTTCTGTTGGAAGGCAACAGCACACCGTGAGTGAGGCAGCAAAGGAACACTGGCAGTGAAATGAGGCTTTTTTTATGGCATTTTGTTCTTAAAATTCGATGATTTTCCAAGAAATAGGTTGATCGAGAATATTGATTAAGGAAACTGTTATTTCCAAATCCAGTATTTGTGGTTCTGCTGGATTACTGGCTTGGATTCTAAACTGAAATTAGCAACTGAGCTAGGGTTTGCCCTAGGTATGTTCTTCGTATTAAACATGCAGTGCCCCAAATCTCTTACAACACACCCTACTTTTTCCCTTCTCATTGAGCTGGTCCATAACAAGGTGCACAGACTGGTGAACAGGTAGAACAGCATCAGCATTTCCACCATTTAATACTCTGCAGTTACTGTTTAATAAAAAGAATCACCTGTAACCATCCAATATCTTGTCCTAAAGGTCAACAAAGTGACATGAGAATTGTCCTATTGGTAATTAAACCCACACTCAAACCTCCAGTAACCCCTCAGTGCAAGCAACTGCCTTGATTTTTCCAAGTGACCATAAATGTCTTATTTCAATCTGAAATTATTCTGACAGCAACTCTGCACCTTAGAGTAATAACCCCAGGTTGGAACGTGGAGTCCCACACAGTGGGGGCTCATACAATCCTGGCAGAAAGGGGAATTCCACCCCAGGAAATCAGTGCAAACTGACTGAACAAGTTGTTCCACGTGTTGGTTACCCCATCTACCATCTTTTCTTCACAGAATATGACAGTCTCAGAGAGTAAAGAACACAAGATTTACGAATCCCATACTTGTACTGGAAATATTACCCTGCTTTGTCCAGCTGGGTGGATTTGGGCAAATAGGGTTTTTGTGTCACTACCACAGAACCCTCAGGGTTGGAAGAGACCTTCAAGATTATTGAAACCAACCATTAAACCAGCAGCACCATCGTCACCCCACAGCCACGGCCCCAAGTGCCACGTCCAGGCACTCCCTGAACACTTCCAGGGACTCCATCACCTCCCTGGGCAACTCCTTCCAGTGCCTGCCCACCCAGTGCAGCTGCTCACAGACACCACCTCTAATTCATGGCTTTGGCTTCTTCTCTGGCCACGACTTTTCTTCCCAACTCTAATATTTTGCTGCTTTCAACCCACAGAGCGAGAGTTCTTTTCTCTTGACCTTGATTAGCACCAATGAACTTCGATTGTTCCACCTCTAACAAGCAGCTCCGGAAGCCACGAGAATTTTGGAGGTCCCTGTGTGAGAATCAACCCAAACTTTAGGGCAGTGACTCCTGGACACCCAACAGCACTGGCCACGATCATTGTGTTTTACCTGATCCTGCTGTAACAAGATGCAAGACTGAATTAAGGAGCTTGATCTCTGGCCCTTTATCAGGTGCCAGTGAAAGCCTTTTCTGCCTATGAATAGCAGAGATAACATTTGCAGCAAAGCAGCTTGGATTAGACAGGAAGAACTAAGACCAGAAACAACCACTTAGGAGATAAGAAATTAAAGCACTTAATTGCTGCAAAGAAATACACAAAAGCAAACAGAGCTCTGTAAAAAAATTCATTGTATTCCTCCTGCCACAGGGGACGAGCCAAAGGCTACAGAGATGCCAAACAGAAAACAATCTGTGTTCCTAAAATGAGATGGGGCCTGATCCTGTACATACACACAGCAACTCAGCTCTCAGACTCTTTGGGATGAGCCACATCCTGTAGAATTCCTGGATATCACAGCCAGGTCTCCCTGTTATCTACATGGAGCCAAACCCAACTCTGTAAGTTGAACTGGCACCAGAGCCCTGTAACTGGGTACAAACAGTTGTCAGTCACTATCAGAACAAATTAAAGTACACCATTTCCTCTCTACATGGTCACAACCTACTTCTGCCTCCCACAGTTTATGCTCTTGCCAACTGATTATTCTTTTATTACCCCATTTGAGACTATGAAAGTCAGCTATTCCATATATAACGAGAGGAAACTCCAGCCCAAAGTGAAATGATGAATAACAGCTCACATTACCTAAATAGGTGCTTTCAAGCCCTTGATTTTCTCTTTCTTGACTGGTAATTTCTGATCCATACAGTGTGGCAGTTTTCCAACAGGACACAAGCAAAGCAATTATTTCACCCAGCAAAAGGTAAAGGCTTTTGGGACACTGAGGTCACACATCACGACCACCACAGCTTTCTCTGCTCTTAAAATTACCAGTGTTTAGTTTCATCAAGGAACAGCTCAGGCCAAACAGAGAGAATTGGCAGCAATCTGACCAGGCTACGACAGCATAAATTCTGCACAGCCCTGCTGGGAGTGCTTCACTGGAGCAGGGATCAATCAGCATAGCTGGGGAACAAGGACACAACAAAAATGAAAATGACCCTTTCATGATAAAGATCATGAGGACTAAAAAATAAAAACCAGATACAGAATAGCTGGACTACTTAAGGACAAGGTATTTAACCAACCCCAAATCTTCTCACAGTTCTCCTCTGTAAGAACTGTTGTGTCCCAGCCCCTGCACGAGGCAGTGGCACATGAACATCCCAGCAAGATCGACTGTGAATGGCTCTGCCCCTCTCCCCACACCTGCCTCCCATCCTCCAGGTGGAACAGCAAACCCTGGAGTGCCTTCCAACACTTCCATGGGAGGAAAACAATTCCCAGGCCAGATGTTCTCCTGCACCTCTCTCTCCTCACTACAAGGTTAATTAGCATCTATATATTCGTAGGAAAAAAAAACCCTTTACTTTCTAAAACGTGGCTTGTTGAAATATTTTAAAAAACAGGAGTTAGCTAAGAATTTTTGGGGGGCTGTTACTTATATCTGCAGGAATTCTGTCCAGCACTGTTCCAGACAGGCTTTAAAACATTTCCTTCTCAAATGCTGCAAGAAGGATGCGAGGGGGAATCTCTCACCACGAGAGTTGCAAGGGTTAAGGCAGAAAATATCCAAATATCCCAACCACTCCAGGAGAAACATTTACAGATCTCAGCACTGAAGAGGAACAATAAAGTTTTATAAGGCTGCAATAAAACCAGGCCAGCAGCTAATACTGCAAGTTGGCACTTTCCCAAGTGCCAAAAGCAGATCAATAAATAACCACCTCAAAGCGGAGCCAGAAGGCTGAGCAGGGGGTTCTCAGTCACCTGCAGCAGGGAAGGGCAGCAGAGGATGGGGGGTTCTGCAGGCTGGGATGCGCTGGGAGATGGGGGTTTCTGCACACCCAGGGGACAGTTGGATTTGCTGCCGCTGGAGGGGACAGGTGGGTCCTCCCCGTGGTTCCCAGCAGTGCATCCATGGGGGGAAGGTGGGAAGCTCCAAGCTGCTGGTGGCTGGGAAGGTCTGCTCTAGAAGGGGCCATTTTAGAAGAGACGTGTATGGGAAGCCTAATTTAGGGAAGCAGCTTTGAAGGATTTCTGGTGCATGGGATGATCCCCAACAAACCCCCACAGAAGCAGGAAAACAGACTTGGAGCAACCTGGCCTGGAGGAAGGTGTTCCTGCCCATGGCAGGGGATGGATTGAGATGAGCTTCAAGGTCCCTTCCTGCCCAAACCAGTCTGGGATTCTAGGATTTATTTGCCAGGCTTTTCACTAACAGAATTCCAGGGCTTACAGCTAAAATCAGTCCTGAAACAGCCACCAGCTCAGTGCCAGGGGATGGCTGTAGTGTCAGAATTCCACTGCCCTGGACACCTCAAACCAAGCCTGAGCACAGAAGGCTCAGTCTGGAACTGCTCTGGTTGGCACTGAGGGCGAGGATCAGCAGTGATTCCAGGATGGATCAAAGCCATTTGGCCCAGCATGGGATGACCCTCTCGCTCTCCTGCACTCCCTGCCAGGCTCACTAATTAGTTTTTTGAATGACCCAAGTGTTTTTGTCACATCCACCTTAACTGCTAAGCCATTCCACACTCTCTAATTATCTGGAACAAAATAAAACAAAAATCAAGTGAATTACCCTGACATACTCAGTGAAAACAGAGAATAAATTTGCTCACTAAGAGAATAAAGTTGCATATCGTGTAATGACCATGAGAGCCTTGAAAAGACATCAACCAGAAAGGGAATAAACTGTTTATTGGAATTAGAGGTTTTTCAGAATGGACACATTCAAGAACAGATGGATACTAAGCAGAAAATAAAACATGGGGATAGGAGGCTTTAAAATAATTTCTCTTTGGAAGACTAAAGGATTAATATTGGCTCAGAACCTATCTGTGAGGTTCTGGAATAACTCAGAAGTCAGGTATGTCAGGGTAATGTACCATTTCCTGTGTTGCCAGAAGGTGGGACAGTCCCAAATTTCAACTTAAGCCTCTAATTTCTCATGTCACAACTCAACCAAAAGGCTTGTAAGACTTGGAGGCCTCTAAATGTGTGGTAAGGGCTGTTTGATTTCCATATCAGCAAGTGAAGGAAAAAATCATCATCCTGTGTCAGAGAAAGGTCAATATTGCATAATTCATCAGCAAACAGACTCAAAATTAGAACTTTTTGTACAAGTGGTCTTAAAGTGGTTTAATCTTGAGTCTCTCCCTTAAAAAATATAAAGTAAACACAAAGTCCAGATACAAACCCCAGTAATGAACAGCAGCCCAGGCTGAACAGGCAGGCAGGAGCAAAGCAGGGATAAAATCAGATTCTCCTCAGACACTCTGTCAGCATTACACTAACAACCTGTCTTCAGCAGGAAAGCCAAATATTGTTTGCTGGAGCCCTCAGAGAAGCACTCCAGCCAGGGCTGTGACCTGCCCTGCCTGACCACGGCAGCTGCGTCGTTACCGAGCAAAGCAGAGCCGAGCCACGAGCAACGAGAGCAAAGGGAAAGCTCACAGAGGTCACCCAGTCGTTCCAAAAAAGGGCCCCAGCAGCCCATGCTGAGGGGCAGCAGTGGCCTCCTGTGACGCAGCGCAGGGAGAAAAGGACATTGTGCAGATGGAACACAAACCACCCACTTGCACTTCGTTGCTTTGTGGGGTTTTCGTTTAAGGCCCAATGTTATCTTAATGTGCTTCCTGGCTCCCCATAATTAAACTCACTAATCCCCAGTCCTAAGGCATCGGCGAGTGGAGCTAATTTAAAGTCAGTACCTGAGCCTACATCCGTTTGTTGGGTGGTTTTTTTTCCCTTTAGCAAAGAAACAAAATTATCGAACCCTTCCCACGACAAGCAGGTATTTCTGTCTGCAGTTTAATGGCTCCTTCACTGGCCTCATTCTGTACTTCAGGGGTTACAAAGGAGCCTCAATACAGTCATTCCTGAAGATTTAGATATATCTGGGTATCTAACCAAGGTACAGAAAATATCTCACAATATCCCCACTGCACTTGATACTCCCCAGCTGCCCTTTCTGCTGCATTTGCAAACTCCCCCTATCTGTTTAATATCTCTTATTTGCTCTGGGGAGGGGGATTCCTGGAGGCAGCACCTGCAAACTCGGTGTGTCAGTCATCCCTTCTCCCCACACAGCAGGATCAGTTCCCATCCATCTGCACGCTGCAGACAAACACAATTATAGATAAAGATCTCCCGGAAACATGACTAGCTGCAAAAATAAATTTACCTCCTTATCTGCAAAGGAATCACCTCAGTTTCTCCATCACTCCAAAATAATGTGCCTCAGTCACCTCTTGAATTACACACAGAGCATTTCTCAAGTATTTCCAACTCCACAATCTTCCTCGGGCCTTTTCCATCAGCAGTGTTAACCATCTCAGGGCCCTGTTTTACCCTTGGTAATTATTTGTCCTCTACCTGAAATTCCTTTCTGTGGTTCCAGGTAACTCGGTGCCATTTGGTTCCTTTCCCAGACCCTTCCACAGGATTTCCTGAGCCACCCTGAGCCGCAGCACCACGGGACAGGGGTGGGCAGAGCATCTGCAGTGACATCCCCCAGATACCACGGTCCTGCAAGGTCTGGTTGTCCTGGCAGAATCCTCTTGGACATGACCTGGAAGGTTCAGCCACAGTATTTCTGCAAGCTCTAAGCTCGTCCCCAAATT